ACCACTGAATCAGATGTTGCAGAGCGCAACGACAAGGCAAAGTCGGCAAACCTTGCGCTTGACCCGAACAAGCCTCTTCACATAACGCTTCCTACTTTCCGCATGGTCATTCTCGCCGACGACGCACTACTGAATTTCTTCGAAGTCGGCTTCTCATCGTCCTTCCGCCTGGCCGACGAGACGCTGTCCTCGGGATCCAGCTTCCACAACCTCACCACTTTCGCCAATGCTGGAAGACAAGGCGGCGGAGGTGGTGGACTAGGCGGTGTTGTTGGCGGCGCTGGTGCTGGTGTTGTACCACCCGGCAAAGGCCTACGAGGCATGCTCGACAACATCGTCAACGACGGAATGCGCGTCGCAACCGAAGTCAGAAGGCGATATGATGAAGCTCAAAAGGAGCTGGATAAGGAAGCTCGACACGGACGAGAAGATGATGACGATGATGAGGAGGTTGATGCGAAAGACCTGGACCTCCTGGAGGGTGCCGAGACGGTGGACGTGGGCGCATCAAAGGGGGAAGCGCCGCTGGACCTACTGTCACCGACAGGTACTGGGGAAGAGATCAAGCCGGCTAGGAACCGGTCGGCTAGTGATGCGAGTAGAAGAGTGCTTGAGTTTGAGCGGTAGCATTTGGGACGTAGCAGGAGTGATCTTTTTGGAGTTTAGGATTATCTCAAGACCTTGCTTCTGTGTAGACTCATGTATGGAAACGTTCAAAGTTATCTTCTGTGCACCAAGATTAGTGATGTCGCCTACGTTGCATAGCCCATAGTCGGAGGGCGAAGACCCCTGACAGCTATCCGACGTCAACCGCGTGCGTGTCTCTAGCTCTCCACAGCTACCCCGCAAGTCTCGTACCTGGCCCGCGGCTCAGTTCCGAACGAAGCTCACTAACACCAGCTTTCTCCACACGAGCATATCTCACGATGCACGTGTATCCTTCCTTACCTCCGATGCATTCCGCGTCTGAAGATGCTTCGGTCGCTCTTTGCTCGTGCTGCAAGGTCCCGTAGGCCTGCTTACTGCGCACGACGCGGTCTACTCACACAAGCATACAGCATTGGACCCAATGAGGCATGTTCCAAGCTTCCCGATGATGTGATGGTGGAGACTGACGTTATGATAGCCGCCATTACTGGAGAAGACGGTGCCACAGCACTTTGACGAGGTTGTGAGACAATACGGTGACCGCAACGCGTGCGTACCAAGTAGATGAAGCTGTAAAGACGCGTTGCTAATACTCATATAGAGTGATATCGCACCATCAACGTATACGCCTGACGTACGATGCGCTCAACCGCGACTCGAATAGGCTTGCTAGGGGACTGCAGAAGCTTGGCGTGAAGAAGGGAGAAAGAGTCGCCGTCAGTCTAGGGAACAATGCTGAGTTCGCTACTGTATGTTGGAAGCATGTTGGAGACGCATAGTTGCTGACAAGGGGAAAGCTCACGTACGCGCTGTTCAAGCTGGGAGCGATACTGGTATGTAGTCAACCGGCTAGAAGCATGGGTACCAGCAGCTAACAGCAACACAGGTGCCACTGAATCCCTCGTTCAACGCACCCCAAGTCCTCAACGCGATCAACCACCTAGATGCCGCGCATCTCATCATCGGAGCCGAAACGAACCTGCCACGTAAAGACCCACGATCGAACATCTCGCTCCTCACGCATTTGATACCCAACCTCGCTAGCACGACTCTCGAATCCGAACTCGTACCGTCGCTGAAGAACGTCATACTGGTAGACAACTCGCAAGGCAGGGTGGATCTGGGAGATTACAAGGGTCTGAAGAGATACGAGCACGTCGTTGAAGATGGTGCTCAGGAGAACGCGTTCGAAGATCAAGGATTGCATCCGGATGACATCGTCAATATCCAATTTACGTCTGGCACCACAAGCATGCCGAAAGCTGCGTGCTTGAGCCATAGAAGTATCTTAAACAACGGAAATAGCATCGGCGACAGGATGCTGTTAACGCCAGACGACGTTGTGTGTTGTCCGCCTCCATTATTCCAGTAAGTTCTCGCAGCAATCTGCTGTCAACATCAACTGAACTTTGTAGCTGCTTTGGATGCATTCTGGGATACATGGCCACGGCTACCCACGGTAGCGCCATCGTCTTTCCAACCGAAGCCTTCAATGCACTCGCCACACTCGAAGCCGTTCGCGAATACAAGTGCACAGCCCTCTATGGCGTCCCCACCATGTTCGTAGCTGAACTGGAGCTGCTGGCTCACGGTGCTGTACCCAAAGATGGCTTTCAATATCTGCGTACCGGCATTGCAGCAGGCTCTGCGATTCCCTCGGAACTCATGCGCAAGCTACACAAGAACCTTAACTTGACTGAGTTGACCATCTGTTACGGCATGACCGAAACCTCTCCTGTATCAGCCATGACCACCACGGACGACCCCATCGAAAAGCGCATCGACAGCGTCGGTCGTCTTCTCCCACACGTTCGCGCCAAAGTCGTCAATCCGTCAGACTGGTCGCGCACACTTGACGTAGGCCAACGCGGCGAACTCGCAGTGTCAGGCTACCTCCTCATGAAAGGCTACTGGGGTGATACAGCACGCACAGAGGAGGTTCTACAACCGGACGAAGACGGTATGCTATGGATGCATACCGGGGATGAGGCGTCCATGGACGAAGAAGGCTACATCAAGATTACTGGCAGGATCAAAGACCTGATCATCAAGGGAGGCGAGAACATCCACCCACTGGAGGTCGAGAATTGTCTCTTCGCTCATCCTGCTATTAGCGAGGTTAGTGTGGTGGGTCTTCCAGACGAGCGGTACGGTGAGGTTGTCGCAGCTTTCGTGGTCACGCATGCCGGCGATAATGGGAAGGTGACCGCGGATGAGGTGCGAAGCTGGGTCAGGGAGAAGCTGAGCCATCATTTAGGTAAGTCTATGCGCTCCAGGATCTTCAACCCCAGGCCCCAGGCTCGCCTAGAAACAATGCTGACTGTACAATCCAGTGCCCAAGTACGTCTTTTGGGTAGACAACTACCCAAAGACGGCGAGTGGAAAGATTCAGAAATTCAAGCTAAAAGAGCGGGGAATTGCGCTCTTACAGGAGGGCAAAGGACTAGTGTAATGCTAGGCACCCTTACTTACCGCAATGAAACAACACATCTGTCTGGACTGCCGTGGGTATCGTGCATCTGATGACTAATTCGCAACAGAGACTTTTTTGACGAATTTGCAGGTCCTACGAACCCATTATTTAGTGGCAACGTCTGACACTAACCGAGACCTTTACAAATCTATTCCTAGCTAGAAACATGCGACCAACAAGGATCTTGATGTATAGTACTTTATACGAGCGAGATGTGTGGGTCGGCTCAACATACTGCATTCAGGCGCGTAAGCCTCGCAGCTTTGTTTTATCCTGATTTCCTAACGCGGGCAAGGGCGCCTGCACGCAAAGTTTGTTACCCGCGTTATGGACCATTCTTGGACGAAGAAGCGAAGTTTCGAACAAGGTTGACAAGCTTGCTGGCCGATTTGCGCTGAATGCGTGGGTCATCCGCTTGAGCCCTTTTGATGCATGAAGCGCGCCCTCCAACACACTCGCACGCATAACTTTCGGTTTCTGATCGCGCCTTTCTTGCACACCGGACTATCTTTTTTTAACACTCACGTACTAGTTATATGTTACATTGTCGCTCTTGGCACCTCCTCATTTTCTATAAAAGTGCGCAGGTTAGCGAAGATTCGAAGCTCAACATCTCTCAGCGTGGGCACAATACACGTCCTTTGAACCAGGAACTACTTCCTCATCCACATCAAAACTAAGCCCTCCGCCTCCTACTAGTCGAGACCGTCCCAATAGGCACTCGCCTCCACATACGCGAACATGTCCAAATCAGCAACGAACACAAAGACGCCTACTCCCTCCAACCCCTCCTCTCTAAAGCCCCGCTATGAGATCCGTAAACTAGAACCCAAAGATCTGCTCTGGGCGACCGCCATCCTAGCCCACAGCCACGGTTTCCACTCCGCGATCTGGCAGCACATCTGGCCCGACAAAGCACTCGGCTGCTGGACACTAGAAAGCGCCAGAAAACTCGAGTACCTCGTAGCCCACCAAATCGACTCTGGCCTGTCCTACGGCGTCTTCGACACAGAATACCAGTTCAAGAACCCCGAGGCGAAAGAAGCAGGCGGGAAGCTATTCTGGGATGTCAACGAACCGGAGGAGAATAGCGTGGAGCAAACCCAAGGACGGAAAGCAGAGGGCTTGAGACTACTCCGGCAAATGGACTTTCCGATGGTCAGTATAGCGTTGTCGTACGATAACTTCGTCCCTTTCGATCCCGCGAAGATGGGCCCGGTAGACGAAGCGATACCAGAATTCGGTCCGCTCTTCGGCGCTCTACGGAAGCTCGACCCGAGGGATCCAGCGGAGTGGAAAGCCACCGCACCAGGTCAGGTGCTGATGCGCAATGCGACGTCTACACGCCACGACTATGAGGGCGAGGGTGTTGCGTCGGGCGCGGCGCGTTGGCTGCGCCGCGAGGCCAAGTTGATGGGGTTTAGGGGTATTCAGATTGAGTGTATTGCGGATGCTGTGACGCATCTTTGGAGCGATGGTGTGGAGGAGCCGTTTAAGGGGAGGGTGGTTAGTGAGTTTGATACGGAGACTTTAGAGGATGAGGAGGGACAAAAGCCATTTGGTTTGGCGAGGCAGAGATGTACTAAGTGTTGGGTTGATCTGTAGGTTGGTGGTAAATGAGAGGATGAGAAGGGAGTGGATTTGGATTTGAAAGCCCTAATGATCGCTCAATTGATTGTGCTGCGTGGAAGCGTCCTCTACTGGTACTAAGTGATGAGACCTCTGACGTCAGTGCCCAGGTGGTGTACATCAGCCGACGGGCACAGTCAAGAACTGCAACACTTTCTGAATCGCAACCAAGCTCTGCTCGCATGTTACACATGACCTTGGAATCAATCGAAAGACCGTAGTAATTCCGATACCCAGCAACATCGACGAAATGACCGATTTTTGCCCGCGGGCTGAAGCCGAGCTTCTCGTTACAAGAACATGCTGTCTCTCAAACGATCCCGTCTTCTTCATAGTCCTCATCATCGCAGAGTACAACTTCAAAGAGGGAGTTATATACCTCCAAGATGGTCTCGCCGGCTCGAGGTTTTACCAGCCCATGAACTCCAGCCAATTTATCCAGTGTCTCGACAACGAGACGGGTGAAGAAGTTGAAGTCGTGCGCCAAGGCACAGAGCCAGTTCTCTTTCGCGAAGACCAAAGCGAAGTCATTTTTACGACAGGGAGGTCCAGTAAATCCCGCGAAATGCCGTTCATTACTACTGCTCTCCGACCAGATAGGAAGTACAGACTGTGCTTCAAACCGACAAACCCGATTTCGCATTGGCCAGTCAGTGCGGTGAATACTTCGACTTCTCTTTCAAGAAGCCCGGGCGGTTTGCTATCTGCGTATGAACTTCCTACACCAGCCACACCGACTATACCCTGGCAGGCCGCCAACGGCAACGACACAATCATCTTCGAGACCCGAAGTTCGCGACCAAAGACACCAAAAGTCACCGCCTCTCTATCAGCACCATCAACATACTCTCTCTCCTCCCTCACCAAGAAACTCGCTTTCACGCTCACGTTCTCGACGGACGCCGCGTATCCCTTTACAGTCCATGCAGATCGCGCATGGGTCAAGTCTCTTCAATCCGACTTGGCAATCCTCGACGCAACGTCGCGCTGCAAGCTCGAACCCTATCTAGATGTAGATCGAGAGCATTACGAAAATGAAAGACACGAATTCATACGATTCGAAGGAGCGTATACGGAGCACCGAGAGTTGGATTTCGGAGGCGGGAATTTAAGTAGGTTGGAGCTAGAGGTTGGGAAGGAGTACATACTCTGCCATCTCGGCGGATCGTGGTGGTGGACAGAGGATACGGTAGATGAGGTAATGAACTACCTTGCTTCTTGGAGTAGTGCAGGGTTGGAGATGGGTACGAAAATCGAGTTTGAGGGCGCAGGGGAAGTGAAGTTTACGGTGGTGAAGTGATGATACTCTGAGGATAGACGAGCATTCTGCTGATGTGCACCTGGAATATCATACAAGAACCGTCTTGAAATGAGACGAAGATGTGACCCATTGCGCACTCTTGAAATAAGACTGAAGAGCATGTAGCTGTCAATACACTGGTACTGTCCATTCTTCGAGCAACACATCGACGATATCTCGGTCCACCGAGATCGAAATGTTTCCAGTCTCTGTCATTTGCTCATCGTCCTCTAGCTTTGACATGATGTCAGCAGTGTTCTTGGAAAACTGCTCATTCTCTTCCTTTGCCAAACGTCGCCTTTTTCTCGGTGAACGCTGATCGGCGTCCTGCTCCGTTCCATCGTCAGTCGAGAAGCGTAGGGCCGCTGGAGGTGGCCAAGAGAGACCTGTTCTAACGTCGGAAGGGCTGCGCGAACGCTTTTGGTCGCCCACTCTCCCTACATTGGGTTTGAGACTTTTGGCTCTAGAGAGGTAAGACTCCTCGGCCTCGGGCTCTACGTATCCTGATGATGTATCGTATTCCCCCCCATCCGGCGCAGACGTGGAGATGTTCGGGTCGTAAATCTTTCCACCTCCATCGTGAATAACGGGCGGGTTCTTGTGTGATTTGCTGCTTGACGAGCTACCAGAGGTTGTGTACAGGCTCGATGAGGGTGGGACAGGAACGCCTAGCTGTTGGCCAGTGTTCTCAAATACGGTAGGAAGCCCTTGAGCGTGCTCGGCAATGTTGATGCCGCGACAGGTTTTCTCTGAAAGATACTCTTTCTCAACGTTCCGCGTTATGCAGCTGCCACACGGATAATTATAATCGCACTGCGGCCAATCAGTACGATATGCGGAGGTGATGTGGGTTTACTTTACCTTGAGTTTGAGGCTGTGACAGTTGTTGCATGGTTGGACCGCATTCCTCTTTTGCTGTTCCGTGAATGCGCGTCCAGGGGTTGGTGCACGTTTCTCCTCCTTTGTGTTTGCTCTTTTGCGAACGCCTGGCCAACCGTAGACTTGTAAAGTTGATTGCGGATCTTGCCTCTCACTCTTCTCAGACTGCATAGGTATACTCTCTGTCATCGAATTATCCGCCATCAATTGGTTGTTACCATATTGTCCCTGTTCAGAGGGTGGATTGCTTTTCCTTTTCCGACAATACAAGAACATCAACTGATATTGATAGTCTCGCAGGACAGTGGTAGGACTTGGCGGTTGTGGTAAGAGTGTCGAATCTGCGGTCAACATGGGAGACTGGGTATGCAGCGAGCTTTCGACACCGCTTTGTGACGACTGAGATATCGCAGGAATCACAGGTCTGCTGTAAATAGGCATAGAGGGACTAGAAGTAGAGACTGGTGATAGCATGGGCCTGTTGAGCATGGGCATAGCAGGACTAGGCGGGCTTTGAATCATTCCTGACATTGGCTGCATTGCAGCTTGCGAATGAGCTTGTTGGTGCTGCCAATGAGCTTGATGGCGCTGCGCTTGAGCTTGTTGGTGCTGCGCTTGAGCTTTTTGGTGCTGTGCTTGAGCCTGTTGTTGAGCCATGGATTGCGCTTGAGCCTGTTGTTGAGCCATGGATTGCGCTTGAGCCTGTTGTTGAACCATGGATTGCGCCTGCCTCTGAATCTGCGCCCACGTCTGCGATAATGCTTCAGGAGTCTGCTGAGCCAGTGCTGAATGTCCTTGACCAAGACTAGGTCGTTGTTGCTGACCAGACAGATCCAACGGAAAGTCTGAGGCTGCACTTCCACTCGGCACTGGAGGATAATGGGGCGTTTGCGCATCGAATGATGGAACCGTTTCGACAGATTCATGGGACACAAGAGGCGGGTACTGTGAGCTCTGCGTGGACGGTATGGCATCGAGATTGGTTGTCTGCTGAGACACTGCACGCTGCCCTTGGCTGAAATAAAAACCATCCAATGGAAACTGCGTGTTCTCATCATCAACGTGAAGAAAGCTGTCAAAGTCAAAGCTCTCTAATTGGCCTCCGTTATCGTCCATATTGAAGTCGATGAATGGAGCAACCTTTCCAAAGTCGACAGCTGACGGAAGCTTGATGCCTGATTCAAACTTTCGGCAGAAGCGTTGATAAATCTTGTACACGTGTCGCTTTCGATGTTTCTTCTTGTCGACATCGAAGCTCTTCTGTAGCATTGTGATGCGCTTTAAGAGTTTCTTCACATGGTCCGCTGCTTTTGCCAGCTCTTCGGTCGAGATCTGCTCTTGATTGTCATCGCCTGACACCGTTGCGTCGCTGTCAGAAGTGTCCGAATCATTTGGGGTCGAAAGTTCGATGGTAATGGTGTTTGGCTGAAGCTTTGGGACTTTCTCTAGCGGAGGCAGCTCCATAACCGGAGCGTTGGCCATAAGCTCCAAAGTTGGAACACAAGAGGCGACGCTTGATCCTCGAAGGGTTTCTTCGTCATTGATTGCGATATGACAGAATCTGTTTTCGAGAGCTTGCAGGCTTTTGAGTGAGTCCTGCTGTCGCTGGTGCAGTTCGCGGATCTTCTCACGCTCTTCATCCAAGACACCTTTTTCCATTTTTCTGTGGCTATTGTCAGCTGCATTTTATGCATGGTAGTCTATTAACTCGGCTCACCCTCGCGCCTGACCTTGGGCTAATTGCAAGACATGCAACAAAAGCACAAGGCTGTTCTTCAAACTCTCAAGTCTCCTTCGGTTCAATTCGACCCGCTGTTCCTTCATCGGCCAGGCCAGCTTACCCATCACGCTCAAGCTTTTCTTTCCATCCTTTGCAGTCTTTCTCCTCTTCTCTACCATCTCTGATACTTCGTGGAAGACGCTTTGGCACTTTTTGATGATGTTGTTAGCGTCCTGGATAGCCTTCTTCGACACGATGGATCCGGCCTCCTCGGACTCAAACACTCTGCCTACGCTTTCGAGCGCATTCGACGTGAGCTCTACGTCATCGGCAATGTCTTTGACGTCTTGATCTGCCCGCGCGGCTGAATTCGTGAAGTTGTACAACGCGACGCTGAGCTTGGCGCCAGCCCCCGCAATCTGGATGATGCTAGCTGCGAGGCCTACGACTTCGGCCATCATAGGGTACTCGCTGTGTGCGAATTACTTGTGCGTTCGAAAGTGTCGCATTGTCATATTGCTAAGACTGAGCGCGAAGATAAGCTTGGGTCGAGTGGTAAAGCAGGCTTCGCAAGAAGGCTCAGTGCCTGCATGACCCGCTGCGGCTGAGGCGTAGCCGCATGCTGTGAACACCTTGCCATGGGGATTAGAGCAAATGAGGATGCTGTCGCACATGCGATAGTATACAGCGCTGTGAGCAATGTAGGCAAAGAGATGCGCCAACCGTTTCGCGTACAGACATGGTGGGTGTTCTACGTAGTGCTTGGGTCTAGTGCAGGTGCATGTGGCCCCCATCAGGTGTGCCTGCCTGTTTCGATCCCTCAGTGCCGCGCCTCCGCATCTAACCACCATCTCACACCGGTCGGCGGGAGAAAAAGACGAGCTTTTCTTCATTTCCACAGATTGTGTCTTAACAGTGACACGTGCTACAAGTACTGAATGGGCAAGCAGCTCTCTTCGATGTTATCGCGGCCGAGCCCCGCACAATGATACACCGGATGCACGATGAACAAGCGGAAGAGTTGGGAGACCACACAGTGCAGAAACTTTGAAAGAGTAAGGTCGGTCTGGCGCATCATGCAGGATGTGAATGGTACAAACATTATGTTTTGAAGCTAGGCTCTGGGTATATAGCGAAACGGCATGGCAATGCAAGAAAAAACGTAGGAATGACATGTGACTTCATCGAGCGCCCTCAGCTACCCTCCACCTACTTGACATGTACAAGTTCGGGTGTCTGTTGGTAGTAATCCTGTTGCCCATTACCATAGCCGTACGTGGCCTGCTGCTGCGTAACGGGCGCATAAGTTTGTTCGGTTTTCTCGATCGTCTGGTTCCAGGAGACGTGTTTGGCGATGCCCAGTAGCGTTATGAAAGCCAGACATTTGGCTAAACCCATGATGTACGACAAGGCCAGCGCTGCACCAAGGGAAGGTATTACGGGCCAGTAGATACTGGATGAGTAGACTACCCCCAATGAGGCGTTCACAAATAGGGTAACGTAGAGGGCAGTAACCCAGCCGAAGAGGTCCTGGGGCTGTTAGCAAATGTACCAGTAGATAGTAGCTGCCATGGACTTACACCTCCGGGTAAGCGTCTTGATCTCAGTGCCGAAACGTTTGACAGAGACATAGCCGCCGAAATAACAACAACGATCACCCATACGATGTCGAGGGCAAGATCGAGACCATTTGAAACTAGTAACGCAAAGTCCCAGTTGGAATCCAAGGAGTTGTCCGCCAATGCGACGTAGGCAAACATGCTAACGTCTGCTAGGATGACAGCAAACGCAACGCCAATAGTAATCAGAAGTACGGTCTTGGAACCAGATGACATATTCCCAAACTGCTTGTGCAGCATGGAGTTCAGGACGTAGACGAACACCCACAGCAGCGCAGCATTGGCCAAACTGCCAATGAAGCTGGCGGCAACGTTGATATTCCAATAATCAATGTAGTTGAGATTGTCACACTCTGACATGACTTGGCTTACGAGACTCAGAATACGCGTGCTGGAGCATGTTAGTATCTTCAAAGCCTGTGAAAGAGACTTTGTCCTTACATGATTTGGAGGAATAGGGCTACAACGAAAGGCACACCGATCAATTTCTTTCCGGCACCGCTTTTCTTGCGGATGAAGAACGTCGATATGAAAATGCCGGTGTACAGAACCAGGAACAGCACCACAAATGCAAGCGCGGCTTGATCGTACGGTGTATTAAAGGCGTCCGGGCATGAAGCATTGCTGTATCCGGTGCCGCCGCCACCGCTGCGTCTGGGTGCCATGGCAAAAGATTGTTGGTGCTGATCAAGTCCCTAAGTAGGATTTCCGAAGTTGATGGGAGGTGAGTCGGCGTTCGACTGACGGTAAAACGCGAGACACGGTTCGCGGCGTCCTCAAGAGTATTTCAGCAATAATAAGTGCATGCTGCATTGGTGCTCCGCCTTCTCACAGCCTGCAGCCTTCCCGTTTTTCCCGTTTTTGGGATTAAGTCAGGGGCAGCTGAAGCGTCGCTAAGCCTCTCAAAGCGTTTGTCGGGCGCCTTACTGTGCCAGAAGGATCGAAGCGAGAGTGCGCGAGATCCTGTGGACGCCTTGGAGCCGGGGTGTCAAAGCCTCAGCGCGTAGACATATTATCTGGCAAACCCCGACCGCAGTGCATTTGAAAAGATAAGTATACCTAGGTACTGCTTGGGTTTCTCGTAGGAAGTCATGTCCGCAATATGTTGAGATGAGACGAGGAAGCTGGTTGCGGGTTACGTCGGGATCAACGCTGTTGTCGACTCTAAACTAAAAAAGACAGGGCTGTGCCTCAAATAGCAGTGGTCTGCGGGTAGTCCGGCTCTGCAAGCGGCTCAAGAGAGTGTCGCGTCGCAAAGTGGAACGCACGGCATGACAGGAAGGCCGCCCAAAGGTGCCCAGGTGATCGCCCGGGCAATTTAGCCTTGCGAGTGGCTGAAGCTTCACGTGACGTGGCTAGTGCAGCCACGGATTAGTTTTCGCGATGCAGGGCGCGGCATTACATCATGTTCGTCGCCTCGACCAAAAGCCATCTCTCTGCGCGTCTCATTCACGCGCATCTGTTCTTTCGGAGGATAGGCGGTCAGCTGCTCTGATTTATCTTATCATAGCTCGGCCGTCGTCTTACATCTCGCCGGGAGCTCGCAACATCCACCTGTTCCGATGGTTCCGTTACAAGGGACCCACGCCACAACTCTCTCTACCAGCCACGGACATCCGGTATATATCCTCAGACTGCCGCGTATCCATCTTCAAACCGCAAACTATTGAAGACGACACACACAGGAAGCTGCAAAGTCAAGATTCCTAACTTACACCGCTGGTGCCCAAGAAGTCAGCAATGGCACACGTATTGCAGGGACTGTCGACGCGACCCGCGCTCGGTAGTCACGACACGTGGACAGCCAACGCAGCGTCGGAAACACTGGATGTGGACGGCGCAACAACTTTGAGTCCCCAAAACGATGAGCAGGCAGCAGACTCGCGAAGTAGAAGCACGACAGCGATACCATCCGATGACAGTGGTTCAGAAACGCAGGTGGTCGAGAAACCCGGAGGCCGTAGGAAGAGCATCCAGGTTGTTTTAGAGCAATCGGGAAAGAAGGGCGAATACACATTCACTGCCAAAGATCCTGTTTTCCAAGAGGTTCTTCAATCAGGTCTGCGTCGAGAGGCTGAGAAACTCAATGGAAAGGCGAAGGGGAAACCCCGCGATCTTGTCTTTACACAACAGTTCACCACGTTCGACCGCCAGAACGCGTCCGCTGCGCACTCCCCGTTCCATGGATTCTTCACACTCTTCTGGATTGCGATGGCTTTGCTACTCGCGCGAATAGCTGCAGGTAACTACAGGACGAAAGGCTCCGTATTTGGGGATGCAGAGATTCTGCACTTGATGATCGACAAAGACTTGTTCGTCATGTTGACGACTGATGTCGCAATGTGCGTAGCCACCAGCTTTGGCTTCTTTCTGCACAAGGCCATCGTAAACGACTATCTGACTTGGAACGGCTCAGGCTGGCTCATACAGTCCTTGTGGCAGACTTTCTTCACTTGCACCATCATCTGGGTTACTTTCTGGCGAGACTGGCCTTGGACTCATACAGTGTTCATCGTTCTCCACGTCTTCGTGTTGCTGATGAAGCAGCACGCTTACTCCTTCTACAACGGCTATTGTATGTGATCCGCACTGGAATAAGAGACCTGAGCTGACTATCAATAGTATCGCGAGTATATCGACGACGCAATCTGCTCCGTGAAAAACTACGTCAACTCGATGATATCAAAGCGCATGAGGGCCCGACCCAAACAGATCCTCCGACTGAGGCGCTAACTGCTTCCGGTCTTGAGAAAGCTGACCAAGGCCAGTTGACGCGTCGGGGAAGCATTGGGCCAAAGTACTCTACCAATTTATCAAAGGAAGAGTCTGAGATTGCATCTATCGGCAAAGCTATTGAAACCGGCAACCCGCTGGATTCGGAACAGATTGAAGCCTTTCGACGCGTGCTCAACACCGAGATTACGATTCTTGATGAAGAGCTTCGTGGAAAGTGCACTACCACCGATAACGTCTACCCGAACAACTTAACGTTCTACAACTTTGTAGAGTGGGCGTGCCTTCCCACACTCGTCTACGATCTAGAGTACCCTAGGCAGGAACGCATCAACTGGTGGTATGTAGCGGAGAAGTCGGCGGCCACCCTGGGAGTCATCTGGATTATGATCATCATCTCGCAAGCATACATCTACCCAGTAGTCGTAGAGACTATGCGACACAAAGAGGCTGGCATGTCGCTCGATGAGCGATGGAAAGAGTTTCCATGGGTTGGTAAGTGCTACATCACTATGAGACCGTTGAATAAACCGCTAATCGTCTCCCTTTATAGTATCCGATATGCTCTTCCCCCTTCTCCTCGAACAGCTTCTCAGCTGGTACGTCATATGGGAATGTCTCCTCAACGTATTGGCAGAAGTCACGCGTTTTGCCGACCGTGGTTTCTACGGCGCGTGGTGGAACTCTGTATCCTTCGATCAATACGCTCGCGACTGGAACCGACCGGTCCACAACTTCCTGCTTCGACATGTCTATCACTCCTCGATCTCATTCTTCCATCTATCAAAGATGCAGGCAACTTTCTTCACTTTCTTGCTTAGCGCTATTGTGCATGAGGTTCTCATGTTCTGCTTGTTTAAGAAGGTCAGGGGATATCTGTTTACATTCCAGTTGACGCAGCTGCCGCTGGCAGCGTTCAGCAAGACGAAGTTTATGAAGGGGAGAGACACGTTGGGGAACATTGTGTTTTGGTTTGGTCTCTTCATTGGACCTAGTGTCATCACCAGCTTGTACCTTATCGTTTAGATGTACTAATACGTCGTCGAATCTCAGCTCTCTTTCAAACAATACATTGGTTGCTTAGTCTTGGTTGCATTCAATCCTCTGAGGCTTGTGCGCCTTTGCTTCTCTCTTCCTTTAACACTTCCAACACTCTTCGCGTCAACCTATCGCGCTCACCAACATCCACAGTACCGTACGCATCCTGCGATTGCTTGAAAATGTTCTCTTCCCATCCCTCTCCAACATTTGGCTTCCCCGCATCCTGCCAACTATCTTGCACCGTACCCCCAATATTCTTAAAGAAGCCTTCTAACCCCGCCGGTCCACCACCAGCATGATAGCTCTTGAAAGGTCCGGCCACTGCCCACCGCGGCCCCATACTGCTCT